ACTGCCACCACCCTCACAGAGGAAACCACTGCGGTTGCTCAGGCTTAAACCTGAACTTTGAAAACTGTGAATCAAAATAAAACTCTTTCCTCTGTAAGCTGATTGTCTCAGGCTTTTCAATTTAGTAACTACTAACCAATACATATGGCTTGTTTTCCTGCTAATTTGGGAGAGGGACAAAGCACTCTCTCAGGAAACTGTCTCTGGGACAAGGGAGGCAGATTCTGTGGGTGTGGGGCTTGAGAGAGATGTCCACGCACAGGAATATTCTCCCAGGCTTCAAAGCCAGAATCCAGCCCATTATTATCATGATGATAATTAGCATTTTTCTGACACTGGATCCTTAAAATCTTGACATCACAATGTCTTCAAAGGTCTTAATATTAAGGAACAATCTGGTTTGATAAATGTGCATAGCACGGAGTGCAATTGCTTGTTCATGAGGGCTACTGTATTTTGACTGTATTGACTGAGTGGTTAATAATATTATATATTGAATGACAAAGCTGAGTATCCAGCTGAGTTTTCTTGGGAGCACAGAGTAGCAGAGACCACAGAAAATGAGTGAGCAAGCAGTTTTTAACTCTGATTTTATCACCACAGCCATCAGCACTTTTTCAAGTACATTTTTTAAAACTTAGATTGCATGCTGTTAAGCTTCTCTACTTGGCAGAAGGGAGCACTACTGTCCATGAATTAAAATCTCACAGGTACGAGAAATTTCAAAATTTACATATACCTATGTCAAAGGTCTTCAGAGACACAGGATGCTGTGGATTACAAATGATTACAAAGCTATTTTTACTTGTTCAAGGGGGACAAGAGCATGCTGGAGTCTTCCTAACTTGTCCATCAAGAAATAATGAAGGAGTTGCAGGACATCTTGAAATATCCACCTGGGAATGGCAGAAGAAACTGCAGACAGACAGCCCACGAGCAGCACCCTGGGGAGAAATACATGCTGCATCGCAATTAAGGAACACGTTGCCTCTCTGAGCACTATCTGGACCTGCATCTTCAGAAAGTCAAAAGGTTGAAGCACGCTTGCCCCAGCACACAGCTCAGTGTGAAAATGTCCAGTTCTTGCACTGAAGTCCTGTAAGCTCAACTGCAGTGTTCTTCAAAAACCAGACATTTCCAAAAGTTAACCGGAATGCCTGACTTTTTGTCCAATGCTTCACACCAGACAGATCCAGGAAACCTAGTTTCTGAGGTCAATTTTTTTTTTCTAGAATCCCCAACTGATAGACAGTAAGATGAGATTCAGAAATCCTCTAATTCAAGTTCAAAGGTTGATAGCATCCTCCAAACATCACTGTGGGGAACCATGTGGAATGCATATAGGATGAGCTCCATTGTGGAAGGAGTAGGGTTAGAAAGGTTAATTTAATTCTTTACAGCATAGACAAGATCCAAATCCAACTCTCTTGATATTTAAGGCTCAATTCACATTGATTATGCAAAGTGCAATGGGAATATCAGGGTTATATAATTAATTTGATTTTTGAGGCAATCAAATTAATTTTCCCCTTATTCAGTCTATTTAACACCCCACAGGTCAAATTAATTGAGTGCTAAAGGCTATAGCTACACAGAAGAAACTACTATTCTTGGGCCTTAATGATAACAAACCAACCTAAAGTATAGGAAATCAATTAATTCACAATTTCAACTATTTACCTTAACATTCCCATTCATTTAATCTCCATGTTGGGGTGACTAACATTATTTTTTTCTTTTTCTTTTTTTTAAGCTTATAGTGGAAACAATGTGTAAGTCACAGCAGGGAGCTGGGATCTATAGTTAGAACCTGAATTGTATCTCACATCTACCACATGAATCCGTCCTGTCTTGGCATCAGTCCCCACACACTTCTCTTTGTTATTCTCCTCCTCTTCCTTCCAAGAGAGAAGTTTCTGAGCCTTGTTGCCTGGATTCAAATCCTAACTCGTTCACTTGATTTCATTTCCAGTTCCCTACCGATTCCTCGTGTTTGTCCTACGGATTAAAGAAGTCAGTCATGTATACACCTTGGCATGCTGGCGAGCCCGTGTGAGTGTTTAACAGATGCTAGCGATTTTCATCACAGTCTGCGGCATCACTACTGTCACCATCAGCAGCATCGTACTGTTCTGGATTCTCTGCTGCACTCTCTTCTCAAACACAGGCTAAGAGCAGACTCTTCTGGCCTCATGTTTTTATGCAGAGGAACTTCACCCAGAGAACACTTCCAATTTCACTTAGGCCCTCATCATTCCTACCCCCATGGCGGGGAAGAAAAGAGTGGCTTATTCTGTTGATGAGAATGGGGAAGAAGACATCATTTTTCTAAACTGCCTGAATATTTATGAAGCAAAGGGCAAATAAAAATGTCAGATTACTGAGTAAAATGCTAAAAGAATTTTTTGTCCTTAGAAATAAAGCCATGTTCTGGCTGAGAAAGAACTTTTAAGAACAATCCTATTCATAATAGCTACAAAAAGAATTAATATCCTGGAATAAATTTAACCAAGGACATCAAAGATCTCTATGATGAAAATTACAAAATATTAAAAAAGTAGAAGACAGAAAAAAATGGAAAAATCTTCCGTGTTTATGGATTAGTAGAATCAATATCATCCAAATGTCCATATGACCAAAAGCAATTTACAGATTCAATGTGATCCCAATCGAAACACCAATGACATTCTTCTCAGATCTAGAAAAAATGATGCTAAGCTTCATATGGAAGCAGAAGAGACCCCAAATAGCTGAATCAATCTTATACAACAACAACAACAACAACAAAAGCCAGAGGCATCATAATACCTTATTTCAAGACATCCTACAGGGCAGTTATAATCAAATCAGCCTGGTACTGGCACAAAAACAGATATGTGGACCAATGAAACAGAATAAAAAACTCCAGAAATCAATCCATGTTTCCATAACCAACTTATCTTTTTTTTAAAGATTTATTTATTTATTTGAAAGTCAGAGTTTCACAGAGAGAGGAGAGGCAGATAGAGAGAGAGAGAGATCCTCCATCTGATGGTTCACTCCCCAGATGGCTGCTACAGCCAGAGATGAGCCAATCCAAAGCCAGGAGCCAGGAGCTTCTTCCCAGTCTCACATGTGGGTGCAGGGGCCCAAGGACTTGGACCATCTTCTACTGCTTTCCCAGGCCATTGCAGAGAGCTGAACAGGAAGTGGAGCAGCCGGGTTTTGAACTGGCGCCCATAGGGGATGCCAGCGCTTCAGGCCAGGGAGTTAACCCACTGCGCCACAGCGCTGGCCCCCCAACTTATCTTTGACAAGGGAGCTAAAATCAATCCCTGGATCAAGAACAGTCTCTTCAATAAACAGTGCTGGGAAAATTGTATCTCTGCATGCACAAGCATGAAACTAGACCCTACCTTACACTTTACACAAAAATCCACTCAAAATGGATCAGAGACCAAAATCTATGACCTGATAACATCAAATTACTAGAGAACATTGGGGAAACTTTGCAAGATATTGGCATAAGCAAAGATTTCTTGGAAAACACTCCAGAAACACAGCAATTAAATCCAAAACTGACCGATGGGATTACATCAAGCTGAGATGCTTCTGTACTGCAAAAGAAATACTCAGCATAGTGAAGATGCAACTGACAGAATGGGAGAAAATATTTGCAAACTAGAAAAATGATAAAGAGTAATATCCAGAATCTATAAAGAGCTCAAGAAATTCAATAACAAAACAAATAATCCAGTTAAGAAATGGGAAAAGATCTTACTAGTCAAAGGGATCAGTTTAAGTTCATAATTGATCATAAAGATAAGATTAAATGTCAAAGGGATCACATAAACAAGACCAGTGTCTGCTAATAATAACCAATAGAATTAAAAAGGAGAGAACGATCCAACATGGGAAGTGGGATACACAGCAGAATGCAAATGCCCTAAACAGCACTCTGGCCTCAGAATCAGCCCTTAAGTCATTAGATCCGGCTAGAAAGCCCATGAAAGTTTCTCAGGCATGGAAAGCCAAGACACTACAGCAAAAAATGACCTAAATGAAATATCTCTGTGAGTGAGATCCCAATAGAAAGAACGGGCCATCAAAGAAGGAGGTTCCTTTCTCTGAAGGGAGGAGAGAACTTCCCCTTTGATTACGGCCTTGTCTAAATAAGGCCAGAGTTTGAACTCAAGATGCTTCCATAGCCTTGGCAACTCATGACAAGAACCTCATGTGATTACTGCTATCATAAATAAGAGGGTCAATTGTTAAATCAACAACGGGAGTCACTGTGCACTTACTCCCATGTAGGATCTCTGTCCTTAATGTGTTATACTATGCAAATTAATGGTAAAACTAGTCTTCAAACAGTACTTTACACTTTGTGTTTCGGTGTGGGTGTAAACTGTTTAAATCTTTATTTAGTATATGTCGCTCCCCCATTCGCGGAGGAATGACACTAGACCCTGCGCTGTTCTTTTGTCTGCTCGGCCCTTCCCGGGTTTGCTGCTGGTCCTTCCCGGGTTGGCTGCCGACCCCTCCACCTCCGTGGAGGGGCGACTCCCCCTGCCACTTTCCCCACTTCCGCAGAGGAGCAGCACACCGCCGGCCGGCTCTCTCAGGGGCTGCTCAGGTGTTCCTTCAGGTGTTCCCTGGTGCATGTTGTCTCTCTCCTCCTTTATAGTCCTCTTCCACCAATCCCAACTCTGCTACCCACACACCGAGCACGCTGCTCTTCTCCAATCAGGAGCAGCTCCTGCAGTTTATTGGTCGAACTGGAGGCAGCTGCGCAGAAGTTGTTTACTCCTCTCCCAGCGCCATATTGTGGGAGAGCAGATGCATAGAATAAGTCTTAATTCCAGTAACTTAGTCTAGTCCGAGTTGCTCCCCACAAGTATATACTAATTTGATCTTCTGTATATAAAGATAGTTAAAAATGAATCTTAATGAGGGGTGGGATGGGAGAGGGAGTGGGAGATGGGATGGTTGCGGGTGGGAGGGAGGTTATGGGGGGGAAACTGCTATAATCCAAAAGTTATACTTTCTAAATTTATATTTATTAAATAAAAGTTAAAAAAAGAAATGGGCAAAAGAGGCATTTTTCAATTTTCAACAGGCATTTTTCAAGAGAGAAAATCTAAATGGTCAACACATGAAAAAATGCTCAGCATCACTAGCCATCAGGGAAACGCAAATCAAAACCACAATGAGGTTTCACCTCAACCCAGTTAGAATAGCTCTCATACAGAAATCAACAAACAACAAATGCTGACGAGGATGTGGGGGAAAAGGTACCCTAATCCACTGTTGGTGGGACTATAAAAAGGTCCAGCCATTGTGGGAGACAGTGTGGAGATACCTCAGATAGCTGAGTATAGACCTACCACATGACCCAGCCATCTCACTCCTGGGAATTTACCCAAACTGAAAGAAATCAGTATAAGAAAGAATGATCTCTACTCTCGTGTTCACTGCAGCTCAATTCACAATAACTAAGATATGGAATCAACCCAGATGTCCATCAACTGTTGACTGGACAAAGAAATCATGGTACATATACACTATTTACTCAGCTGTAAAAATAATGAAATCCTGTCCCTTGCAACAAAATGGATGCAACTGGAAACCATTATATCTAATGAAATAAGCCAGTCCCAAAAAGACCTGCCATATGCTTTCCCTGATCCAAGATAACCAACAGAGTAACTAAAATGTAATGTATTGAAGTGAAATGGGCACTTTGAGATTCAGTGATTGTTTACAGCCCCTTGTCTCTTCTGTTGAGGAACAGTATTTTTTTCTCTTAATACTATTTGCTGACCTCATTACTTAGTGTAGGGTTAAGTTTATGATCACTAAGTAAACTCAAAGTAGATCTTCATAAAATTAAGACTGGGAATGGGAGAGGGATGAGGAAGAAGGGTTGGAACATGGGTGGGAGGGAGGGAAGGGTGGGAAGGATCACTATGTTCCTAAATCTGTATATACATGAAACTTTATTTTTAAGTTCTACAAAAGAAATAAAACCAAGTTCTTTGATCAGCTTTGCTATTTTTTAAAGATTTATATTTATTTATTTGAAAGAGTCACATACAGCAAGAGAAGCAGAGAGAGAAAGAGAGAGAGGTCTTCCATCTGCTGGTTTACTCCCCATTTGGCAACTGCCAAAGATGCACCAGTCCGAAGCCAGGAGTCAGGAGTTTCCTCTAGATCTCCCACATAGGTGTAGAGGCCCAAGGACTTGTGCCATCTTCCACTGCTTTCCCAGGCTACAGCAGAGAGCTGAGTCAGAAGTGGAGCAGCTGAGACTCGAACTGGCGCCCGTATGGGATGCCAGCACTGCAGGCGGTGGCTGTACCCACTATGCCACAGCGCTCTCCCCAAGTTTTAGTATTAACAAATGTAATGCTCCCAGCTGTATGTGACTTCTGTGTCCAGCTCCACACCAGCTCCAAACTCTTCAGAACAGGAGTGTTAGGCACTGCACATATAAGGCTTCAACACGAGCATCCACTCAGATTCTACCCTTTCTTCTGCATGTTCACCCCATCTCTTCAAATCTCATCTCTCCTCTACACGTGCCTGTCCACTTCCAGAACAAACTTGCCCAAGCATTTTTAAACACTGGAAAAATCATGTGCACTGTTTTCCCAGTACATCGAACTCTAGCAGTCTTTGAACTCTAACAAAGTATTTCTGTGAAATCTTCAATTTTGTTGTCCTTTGAACCTGCTAGTCTTAAATTAGATATCACTTCCTTCAAAGAGCCTTTCTAATCTCTCCCATCCTCAACATAACTCCCCTAATACTCTTTATTTTTCTATTAAAACACTGTATGTACCTTCTTTTTATTGTCTCTTTACCTCACTTGTATGTTCCCACATTTAGTAAAATACTGTATTTTGTTAACCACGGAATCGTCAACACATATCATCATGCTGACACATAGTAGATGTTCAATAACTGCTCTATTAAATAATGAATAGGGGGCGTACTTAGCCTAGCAGCTAAGCCTTCAGTTAAGACACTCATCTTCCATCTGAATGGGAGCTCTCTCTCTCTCTCTCTCTCTCACACACACACACCCTCTGCTTCTCTACTAAACTAAATTTTAAATGGATAAGGTGCTTATGTGTTACCTTACATTATGGTAAATACTAAGGGTAAAAGAATGTAAGGGGAAAGAGGGACACAAAACAAAGTAACCTGACTTTAAGAAGCTTGCAGTTTGCATTAAGGAGCAAAATTAAGCAGGAAAAAAATAGTGCTCTGAATGGCTATGCCTTATCTTTAGAAGAATAAGTATCAACAACCACTTTTCAAAATACATGTTAAAGTGGAAGAAGAATCCTACTTATTGGTAACACAGAATTCAAAGGAAAGGCAATCACGGTGCTTTTGACCATTTATTTCACAATCGTCTGTTGCCTTTAGGAATCCCAAGTGAGCAGATCTGACCATCCCTGTCAGCGGCCATTTCCATCCTTGCCTTTATTCAATGCAAGCAGCACTAGCTTGTTAAGGTTGGCTTGGGGTTCAATTGATTTACATTTCATTAACGTGGACAATAATTCCTGATAAGTATTCATGTGCTCATAAAATGTCACCACTACAAATATCCATAAATAATGTCACCCTGTACTGGAATGTGCATTGATGAAAAATGTCATCTTGAAGCTAATCACAGATCATGCTGCTGTCACTGATTCCAGGATTCCATTCTTAACAGCTTGATACAGCAGTGGCTGGGAGTCTTCCACGGGCTTGGTACATTATTAGGACAATGTCACTTATTTTATCAACACCAAAAAGTCAGCATTGAGTCATGTCACTTTTTGAACAGAACACCATGAGCATTTTCTACCAAAAAGTAATTAATCATATTTTTAATCATTGCCTTGTTACAACACGCACGGCAGGCTGTTCTAGGAAGAACAGTAGGTTAGTCAGCTGGCTAATGAAACTCCACTGGTGAGCTATGCATTCACTCCTTGCTGCACAGACATCAGACATGACTCAGTGGCTGTAAATGTCCAGGCACATCCACACAGAACTCATCAAGGACCCTGGAGGTTCGTTTTTGTTTTCTTGAACATGTGAACTCTAAGCAAGTGGTAGGAATTAGGGAAATCAATTGCAAGGCCATTTTCCCCACTAACAGCATGCCTGCATTGTGCCGGTTGCATGCCAGGGAAGAGATCTGCCACAGTCACCCAGACACGTAGCCCCTCAAGGCTTGTGCCTGGACTTGCAATCAATCCATTAAGTTAATTCAACACGTTCAGCGTACCTGTCTAGTAGGCTTTAAGAGTTCTGAATATAGCCAAATCAGAAAATCAAAGCTCAAGCAAAATCAAAATGTTGCCGACCATAACTTTTTCTTACTAAGCATATCTACAATTTGTGAGGTTGTCAATTGAAGCTCTATCTTTTTAGAGCTTTGAGTCGATGCAATATATTTTCTAAAGACAAAACTAAAACACCATAAGCAGGTCTCCATCATGCAATCTGTGATGATAGTTAAAAAAGAGATAGAGAGAAAATAGAATTCTGAATATTTATCAACTTAACACAATCTGTAAGTTGAACATGCATTTATATTTGTTTATAATTGTTTTATGACAGATACTCTATTATTTACAAGTAACAGTTTCTCCAAAATCTCAACATGGCTCAGATATTTTTAAAAATGCTTTGTATCTGAAAAGCAGAGAGAGAAAGACAGAGGGTGGGTTGGGAGAGAGAGATCTCCCATCTGCTGATTTACTCCCAAAATGCTCACAATGGTCAGGGCTAGGCCAGGCCAAAGCCAGCAGCCAGCAACGCAATCTCACATGTGGGTCACAGAAATCCAGTGACTTGAACCATCACTGCTGCCTCTCAGGGTGTGCACAGTGAGAAGCTGGAGTCAGGAGCCAGAGGCAGGAGTCAAACTCCAGTGTGGAACATGAGCATCGGAAATGCTAGGCTAAAGTGCCACTCCTTCTAAAGTGCCATTTATGTGGTTCCTGCTATCTACCTCAGCACAAGGTACGCAGGAATGTAAGGATGAAAATTTCAGGAAAGGGCTCAGGCCATGCCTAGAGGACTCAAAGATTGTGTTTTGAGCCTGATGTGCTCCAAGTTTCTAAAAGGATTTTTAAAAAATCCTTTAACTGTACTGACCAAGTCTATGGGGGAGAAGGTGTATAATGCTTATAATTTGGATTTAGCCTAAATACTGATGGCTTAATTGACCACCAAGTATGTACTCTGGAACATTGTTTTAGAATTTCCCTAATGCCCCACCAGTATGCCTTTGTTAGCAAATGTGCCATTTTAATTCTTCTGGTGTTTTGCAACCCACTGCGTAACAGAAAAGGCCTAAGTTACACTGAAATTCAGTTCCTAAAGCCAGGCACTGTCAGCAAGCTTCAGGATGTCGCCTTTTTCTGTCCATCTGCAGCTTTTCCCCCCACTCCCAGCCCCACAGACACACAGATTTCCAGATTTTTATAAAACTGCCAAGCTAGAACCTATATAGCCATCCCAAAGTTAAACAAAACAGTCAAAGCGAGCATCGGACCTCGCAGTTAAGACGCTGCTTGAGATACCAGATCCCATAGCAGAGTAGCTGGCTCCGCCTCCTCATTACAACTTCCTGCTAATGCAGTCCCAGAGGGTGCAGTGGTGGCTCAAGTGATTGGGTTCTGTCACCGTGTGAAGACCTGGATTGAGTTCCCAGCTGCCAACTGTAGTCTCAGTGCTATCCATTCCTTGTTAGCATTTGGGGAATGAACTGGTGGATGTAGTGTGTGTGTGTGTGTGTGTGTGTGTCCGACTGTGTGTGTCCCTCCCCACCTTGCAAACAAAACATACCAAACTTTTTTTTAAATCCTCCCATATTAAGAGATGGTCTTTTACATAGAGTACTTTTTACTTCAACATAATTTGTGACCTGATATTACAGAACAAACTCTCTCATTACTCTCTGACTTCTCAGCTGACAATCAAGTATAGTCCTTCCACTGCAGATCTATGACTGCTTACAATTTGACATAAGTAGGAGCTTCAAAAAGGTCATGGAAAATTCCCATTATCTTTTAATTTTATTTCTCCATGGATATTTTGAAATCCCTTTGTATTTGTCTCTCCTCTATTAGAATATAAGCTCAATAAGGGTTAAAACATGTCTTAAACTTCTTTGTATTCCTCAGGTGCGTCAAAATTTTCTATAAAACAATAAGCAGTAAATGAATATCACTGATTGAGAAAACATATGAGATAAACATAATAGCTTTTGCTCAGTGCACAGAATTGGAAGCAAGCCTTCTAAGGCAGGAAGGACAGTAAAGATTTGAGAATAATAGATATCTTTATACTCTCACTTTGAATCTCAGCAGAAAAAGAAAATAGCTTTTAAACCACAATGGTACTAAAACAATTTCAAATACTTCAAAACTAAACTCCAAAGTAAAACTAAAATTTCTAATAGAATATAAAGAATCTTGCCTGTGGTGTAAACACTATTAAACCCAGATTGTGAAAGTGGGAAGTTAAGACATCTACATTACCTAAGCAAAGATTGGTTTATGCCAAAAATTATATTATGTTCCTAATAATTACATTCCTGAATTGTGTGTAGATATGCTGTGTGTGTGATTATTAATCTTTCTTTAAATGCATGCTGGTTTTGTGGGGGAAGACCCAAAAATCACTGTGACGCTTGAATTTAAAAGTAACCTACACACTATAATCAAAACTAACGTTTACTGGAGAGTTCACAAAACAACAGGTAAAACTTGACATTTATTCTAAAACTTTAAAACTATATAAATAAGGTCATCTCTCAGTAACTATAGGGGACTAGCCTCAGGACCCCTGTGGGCATGAAAATCTTCAGATACCACAACCCCTTATGTCAAAAGATGTAGTATCTGCACAGGATAGATAGCACACATCCTCCCACATACTTAAATTTAGATGTCTTACAATAATAATACAAAAATTTTAAATGTAGATGCCATATTATTCAGTATAAAGATACTTATAAAGATTGTCTTCACTGAATTATAGCTCTTCCATAAACATATACCCTTCTCTCCTCATTTTAGGAGCCTCATCTTGAATTCCAAGTTATGTAATATTAATATACCCACTCTTGCTCTCCTGGTGTTGGTATTTCCTTGGTGGACATTAAATTCTCAAACTTTCCACATCTTTTTGCTTGACTATATCTCTTGCATGTAGCATACAGATGTCCAATTAGCTGCATGCCCATTCTGAAAGCCATTTTATCTTAATAAAGATTTAGTTCTATTTTTAAATAAAGGAAACCAGCATAGAGGTCTGTTGGAAACCATAATTCCTGGTTGTGCCACGAGTGGAGGAAAAAATATCTGTGGGTTAAGTCTTCCTTGTAAAGATCAATTAATCTCATTTTCATTCCTACTTATCAAACTTTTGCTTTTGGAAGAATTGGATGCATCTCCAGAGCTTTTTCTGGGGTCCTGAAATAGAAATCATCCTATTTCTTGTTGGCTTTCCCATGTCACTTACCACATGTGTTTCTATATGTGGGCATGTGTGTGCATGTCTGTGTGCATGTGAGAGAGGGAGAGAGAGAAACAGAAAAGTGTGCATACAGTAACAATTAGTTTTAGGAACAAAACCTACCTGCCATTCGCCTTCATAAAGAGAGATTTTGAGATTTGTTGGAACGTCCTCTCCAGTTAAATCCTCCTCTTCTCTAAACATAACCATCATTTTTATTTGTTTCAGTTGTCCATTGCCTTCCTCTCCCATTTACCTTCTCCACATACACTCTTTGAGAGTGCTTCGAAAGCTGGTGGAAAATGGAATGAAAAGCTAAGTTATGAAGAAAAGTTTGAAATCCGTGTATATATGAAAAGATCTTCAAAAAGTTCATAGAAAGTGCATAGTATGCAGAAAACTATGCATGCATTTCAAAGTATTTTTGCACCACAGTAAACTTACCTTTAAATTCATTTCTCCATGAATTTTTTTGAAGTGTCCTCATGTATGCTTTTTCCTAGGTAATATATTTTGTTAGAAAAGTTTTATGCAATAAATATAAATTTTGAAAGTACAACTTTTGGATTATAGTGGTTTCCCCCCATAACCACCATCCCACCCACAAACCATCCCATCTCCTACTCCCTCTCCCATGCCATTCATTAATTGTACTTGATTTTTAACACTATGTAAGTAGAATTATACCATTTTAGCATATATTACATTGAGCTCTTAATATTTTCATATTGCTGCTGTTAGAACTGCAGAGTTCATTTTTTTCTACTATATCATTTTCTTTATTTAAATATCCCACAATTTTAATTCTTTCTACTACTGATGGACGGTTGAGTTGACCCAGTTTCTGCTGCTAGGAGCATTCTTGGCATGTCTCTGGTGCTCGCAAGCAGTAATTTTTCCAAGGACCTAGACACAGTAGTAGAATTTCTGGGCTGTGTGGAAATGCACCTTCAATTTTATCAGGCCATTCCAAATTGTTTCTCCAAGTGGATACATCAGTTTACATCTTTCCAATGTACATTCCCATCCCAGAGTTCCCCATCCTTCCCAATCTTGATATTGCTCCATCTGCTTTGCAACCTTCTAGATCTGGTCAATGTCTCTCATTTGCCATCAGTGTTTCCCCTTGAACAATTTCTACTCCTTGTGCTGTGCTACCATTTTAGATAGCGCAGGTAATTGAACAGACAGTCCACCATGTCCAAATGAAAGATTTACATGCAAATCTTTACTCTTCATTTTCTTCTCAGATCTAGAAAAAAATGATGCTGAAATTCATATGGAGGCACAAGAGACCTCGAATAGCTAAAGCAATCTTGTACAACAAAAACAAAGCTGGAGGCATCACAATACCAGATTTCAGGACATACTACAGGACAGTTGTAATCAAAACAGCATGGTACTGGTACAGAAACAGATGGATAGACCAATGGAACAGAATTGAAACACCAGAAATCAACCCAAACATCTACAGCCAACTTATATTTGATCAAGGATCTCAAACCAATTCCTGGAGCAAGGACAGTCTATTCAATAAATGGTGCTGGGAAAACTGGATTTCCACGTGCAGAAGCATGAAGCAAGACCCCTACCTTTCACCTTACACAAAAATCCACTCATCATGGATTAAAGACCTAAATCTACGACCTGACACCATCAAGTTATTAGAGAACATTGGAGAAACCCTTCAAGATATTGGCACAGGCAAAGAGTTTCTGGAAAAGACCCGGGAGGCACAGGCAGTCAAAGCCAAAATCAACTATTGGGATTGCATCAAATTGAGAAGTTTCTGTACTGCAAAAGAAACAGTCAGGAGAGTGAAGAGACAACCGACAGAATGGGAAAAAATATTTGCAAACTATGCCACCAATAAAGGGTTAATAACCAGAATCTACAAAGAGATCAAGAAACTCCACAAAAACAAAACCAACAACCCACTTAAGAGATGGGCCAAGGACCTCAATAGACATTTTTCAAAAGAGGAAATCCAAATGGCCAACAGGCACAGGAAAAAATGTTCAAGATCACTAGTAATCAGGGAAATGCAAATCAAAACCACAATGAGGTTTCACCTCACCCCGGTTAGAATGGCTCACATTCAGAAATCTACCAACAACAGATGCTGGCGAGGATGTGGGGAAAAAGGGACACTAACCCACTGTTGGTGGGAATGCAAACTGGTCAAGCCACTATGGAAGTCAGTCTGGAGATTCCTCAGAAACCTGAATATAACCCCACCGTTCGACCCAGCCATCCCACTCCTTGGAATTTACCCAAAGGAAATTAAATTGGCAAACAAAAAAGCTGTCTGCACCCTAATGTTTATTGCAGCTCAATTCACAATAGCTAAGACCTGGAACCAACCTAAATGCCCATCAACGGTAGACTGGATAAAGAAATTATGGGATATGTACTCTTTAGAATACTATACCGCAGTAAGAAACAATGAAATCCAGTCATTTGCAACAAAATGGAGGAATCTGGAACACATCACGCTGAGTGAAATAAGCCAGTCCCAAAGGGACAAATATCATATGTTCTCCCTGATCGGTGACAAGTGACTGAACACTAAAAAGGAAACCTGCTGAAGTGAAATGGACACTATGGGAAATGGTGACTTGATCAGCATAGCCCTGACTGTTAACAACTTAATACATTATCCCTCTTAGTAGTTTTTTGTCTGTTCTACTTAATAATTCTGTAATTAATACACAGTTATTCTTAAGTGTTGAAATTTAACTGAAATGTGATCCCTGTTAAACATAAGAGTGGGAATAAGAGAGGGAAGAGATGTACAATTTGGGACATGCTCAAGCTGACTTGCCCCAAATGGTAGAGTTAGAAACATACCAGGGGATTCCAATTCAATCCCATCAAGGTGGCATGTAGCAATGGCATCTCACTAGTCCAAGTGATCAATTTCAGTTCACAATTGATCATAATGAAAGGACTAAGAGTCAAAGGGATCACGTAAACAAGTCTAGTACCTGCTAATACTAACTGATAGAATAAATAAAGGGGAGAGTGATCTAACATGGGAAGCGAGATACTCAGCAGACTCATAGAATGGCAGATGTCCTAAACAGCACTCTGGCCTCAGAATCAGCCCTAAAGGCATTTGGATCCAGCTGAAAGCCCATGAGAATATTTCAGGCATGGAGAGCCAAGACACTCTGGCAAAAAAAAAAAAAAAAAAAAAAAAAAAAAAAAAAAAAAAACACCACCCAAATGAAAGATCTCTGTGAGTGAGATCCCAGTGGAAAGAACAGGTCTTCAAAGAAGGAGGTACCTTTCTCTGAAGGGAGGAGAGAACCTCCACTTTGACTATGACCTTGTCTAAACAAGATAAGAGTCAGAGAACTCAAAAGGCTTCCATAGCCTTGGAAACTCATGACTGGAGCCTAGGGAGATTACTGATGCCATAAACAGGAGTGTCAATTTGTAAAGTCAACAACAGGAGTCACTGTGCACTTACTCCTCATGTAGGATCTCTGTCCTTAATGTGCTCTACATTGAGATTTAATGCTATAACGAGTACTCAAACAGTATATTTCACTTTGTGTTTCTATGGGGGTGCAAACTGTTGAAATCTTCACTTAATGTATACTAAACTGATCTTCTATATATATAGAAAATTGAAAATGAATCTTGATATGAATGGAAGGGGAGAGAGAGCGCGAAAGGGGAGGGTTGCGGGTGGGAGGGAAGTCATCGGGGGGGAGGGGGATGCCAATGTAGTCCATAAGCTGTACTTTGGAAATCTATATTCATTAAATAAAAGTTAAAAAAAAATAAAGTGATGCCCAATAAAAAAAAAGCGACTAAATAGCAGTTTGCTTTCCTCAAACTTGTGCTTTATCACTTTCTTCTATTTGGAATAAAATATGACTACAGCTTTTTGAATACTCCATCCAAATATTTAATACCAGTTTCACACCTTCTGTTTCATCTCTAACATCTATATTACATCTCTCTTTTGTACTGTAGATATCTCTTATGTGATAAAGCAAAACAGACCCTAGATTTAGGGACACGATATTTGAATAATAAAGCAAATTTATTGACTCAAGTGACTAAATACTCCAGAGGTAGTTCTGCCTTTAGGCAAGTTATGATCTAGTGGTTCAAATAGTGGCAGTGAGAGAACACAATTTCTCATTCTCTCCACTCTCTGCTGTGTGACATCATCTGCAGGTTACATCCAATACTGACACTCACACCATGCCCAGTGCATGGCCTCCAGTCCCAGAGGTCACCTCCTCAGTCAGACTGCCCAGGAGAACACTGGTGTTTTCAATCAAATATCTCCTTGCAACTTTTTAGCTCTGAATGGGTTACAGAAGTGTCCCTGAAAAAATAAAATGTTATGGTGGAAGAACTACAGGAAACATTGATTGACTAAAATTGATATGAAATCATTTGAGCCGGGAGTAGGTGTCACTCAAACCACACGGCTAAGGAAGGAGAAAGTGGTTTTCTCAAAGGAAATCACAATCCTATTAGAAGAGGAGTACTGGACAGCCACACAGCAACAAAGGTTTACTGAAGTCCTAGGTTAAGAATATTGTTTTCACTTACATACTTGATATACAGAAACAGTAAGTCTTCCCAGGATATGCCCTAAATATTGTCTTCCATGAACCTGCATGTCAATGGAATCATAAAAAGCAGGAGCAATGGAAAATCTGGAACCACAGACTGAATTTAAAATGCCACCTAGGGGAGGGGGTTTGCCTAGTGATTGGGACTCCAATTAAGATGCTTGCATCTCACCTCAAAGTTCCTGGGTTGGATGCCTAACAATGGCTCCTAACTCTTACTCCCTGCTAATGCAGCCCTGGGAGGAAGCCTTGTCGGCTCACACATGTCAGAGATCTAGACTGAGCTCCTATCATGGGTACGTGTCACTCCTCTGCTCAAAATCTGTCCTGGCCTCCCATCTCCATCACAAAGTCAAACTCTAATCATGACCGGCCAATGCCGGTCAAGTTCAGCCCTCAGTACTTCTCTGAGGTCCTCTTCTGCCATTCTCTCACTTGTTCACCCCATCCAACCACACCGGCCTCCTCACCGTTCCCTGATGACGACACACAAGCTCACTCTATGTGCCATATAAGTTATGGGTCCCAGGTTTACGGCTGATTCTAAGACTGCAATACAACCAGGTGGGAACAGTAATGCATGAGAATGTAATGTTTTATTTTTAAATGATACGAATAATGATTTTTGAAAAATTTTTACCTTTTTCATAGACTAAACAAATGACACAGAAACAAATTTAAACATATAAAG